CTCATAAAATAAATAGGGAGAAGTTTTTTTTGTTTTTTTTTGTAAGTAATTTTTGTAGATTAGTATTCTTTTGACCTTACTTAGGCTGTGACACTTATCAGAATTGAAAATTATTGCTTTATTATTGATTTAAAAGTAGGGGTCCTGTTTATAATATTCATACAGTATAAAATTGATCGCTGACATTTATCTGTCTTGGGTATGATGATAAACTACATCTACCTCCTGACGATAAACTACGTCCAACAGCAAGGCCTCTGATCAGCGTGAAACTACCTCTTAATTGCTGGTGTTCCCAGATCCACCCTGACCTGGGGTGGTAGCACTTGTTAGGGTCCCAGCTATGGGCAAATAGTTAACGACCAAACTGGGGTAAAAACACTATGAAAGTGTAAAAATAGGCTTTAATACCAGAAATACTTTGTAAAAAAAAAAAAAAAAATTATTACCAGCAATACATTAGAACCATCAATACATTTTTTGAAAAAAAACATTACCAGCAATAAAAATTTTGTCGGCATTAAATAACCCATTGAGGTTGATATGCCATAAAACAAACCAAACCTAAACCTGACATTTATAGAGCTATTGAAGTTTGAAATGCTGCTTATTTCATTGATATCTTAGTATGAAAACAGACTTTTTTTTATTTTACAAAAAAATTCTTTTAAATAAAGAAAAAATAGTTATATACATTCGTATGTATTTTATTTTAGGTATGTAGCCCTGGCATGGCAAATACTATACAGCTAAAGAAAGGATTGTTTACATTGGTTCAATGATTCCGACTACAGTTGAATAATGATGATAATTTTAGGAAAATATTTTGAACAAGCAAAATAGATTTTTTTTTTTACAAAATGACATTTTGTCATTAAATAACAGACATTTTGAAAGTAGTGCCACATTTTTAATTAAAAAACAAAAAATTTGCATAAAATAACAAAAGTATGAATCAAGTTATGCAGATATCAATGATGTACGCACATTTTCAAGGTATGACATTTGTAAATAAAATATAAGTGCAGATAATTCTGTTTAGGTCAGAAATCAATTTGACACTATATTATGAACAGGAACCTTCCACTTCTAAATTGATAAAAATCAATATTATTCAATTCAGACAAATGTAGTTTGAGGAAGATCCAAAGAATGCTAAAGACAAAAATTATTACTGGGAAAATTTTTCCCTATGTGTTTTTTTTTTTTTTTTTTTATGAGTGGACTTTATGTAGTGCATACTATAATTATTACTATTATTATATATATCTATAAAACAGATGATATCTGTCAGTTTTTGTGTGTCTTTGTGGGTGTATGCTATTTATGTATGTCCACATTTCTCAACTGATTTTGATGAAATTGTACACACAAGTTGAAAATTTACCAAGCTAGGTCAAGACCAACTTTTCAATCTTCAGGTCCACCAGGTTTGGCAGAAAAATCAATAAAACTGAAGGTGGGTATGAATTTTTACAAAAACCAAGGCAAAGTTACATGCAAAGAAAATTTTTACTGGATGAGCTGATGTTCTTTGCACTTAATGCAAAATATAGCTCATGTTATGAAGTTTATGTAGAGTGCTTGAGAGTTTCCTGTGACATTGGCTTCACACAAAAAAATTGCAAGAAACTGAAAAAAAAATGGGATTTTCTGAACAACTTAAAAAAAAAACTTAAATAACTTCCTCATTTTCTATCCAGTTTTCTTCAAACATGTTGCAAAAAATTTGGTATCATGTAAGAAATAAGATAGTGTGGTTTTAGTCTTCATAAATTTGGCATCATGTAAGAAATAAGATAGTGTGGTTTTAGTCTTCATAAATTTGGCATCATGTAAGAAATAAGATAGTGTGGTTTTAGTCTTCATAAATTTGGCATCATGTAAGAAATAAGATAGTGTGGTTTTAGTCTTCATAAATTTGGCATCATGTAAGAAATAAGATAGTGTGGTTTTAGTCTTCATAAATTTGGCATCATTTGTAAGAAATAAGATAGTGTGGTTTTTAGTCTTCATAAATTTGGCATCATGTAAGAAATAAGATAGTGTGGTTTTAGTCTTCATAAATTTGGCATCATGTAAGAAATAAGATAGTGTGGTTTTAGTCTTCATAAATTTGGCATCATGTAAGAAATAAGATAGTGTGGTTTTAGTCTTCATAAATTTGTAAGAAATAAGATAGTGTGGTTTTAGTCTTCAAAATTTGATCATGTAAGAAATAAGATAGTTTTTTAGTCTTCATAAATTTGGCATCATGTAAGAAATAAGATAGTGTGGTTTTAGTCTTCATAAATTTGGCATCATGTAAGAAATAAGATAGTGTGGTTTTAGTCTTCATAAATTTGGCATCATGTAAGAAATAAGATAGTGTGGTTTTAGTCCTGCTCGCTTCCCTGTTTATAACAAAAAAACTGTTCAAAAAGCCCGTTTTTCAGCCATAACTCTTTGGTTTTTCATCCGATGCTTTCCAAATTTGCAAAGTAAATTATATATGACACACAAATTGTCTTGCATGAATGTTTGGTTTAGATTATTTCAGTTAAGTGGCCAAAATCTGTAACAAACTCTTCCCAAAATCAGCTTTTACCATTTAGCTAATACTTTTTTTATATGATTCTAAACTAAATTGGCATTCAAACAACCTTTTATGCAAAGATTGTTTGAGGAGGATTATTGAAGCGTTAAAAGGGAAAAATTCCTGAAGAACCTCTTATCAACCCCAGCTTTACAGTAAACATGCAAAGATGAGGGGGGGTGTGCTTCATGAGTTTGCATTTGCAGTTGAATCAAGCTCTAATGCTTCTTCCCTGTTTTTGTTTATTAGTTTTATGAACAATGCCATGCTGTTTGAAAATTATTATGGCCATAGGAAATTTACTGAATATCTAAAACATTGAAACAATTTAACCTGAGTAACGAACACACAAGGTTTTATCGATGAGATTCATTTATTAAGAACAATCAAACACTTGTGAAGGACATACCATAAAAAGTTGAGAAGTAGGGAATAGCTTTGTATAACAACAGATGATGCATGCAAAGGGGGCTGCAAGCAGAGATTTCTAGATAGGGGGAATGGTTATACAATTGCAGCCATGTACACCCAGGCAATGTGAGGTACCTTGGCTAGTAATATATATATATATATATATATAATGAAATTATTTTAAGATATTTTCTGTTTGTATGTCATTTTTATAGATACAAATATTTAAGTAAATGCTCTATTTTCATAGAAATTGCTAACCAGATGCTTCCTCTGTAGCTAAATGGTATAGCATGTCAGGTTATATGACAGTTCCAGGTAGGATACCAGCTTGATTCCTGTTGGAGGTCTCATATTTTCTATGAAATTTCTTGGACATTCAGGCCGGTAAATATAGTTAATACTCTTTATTATAAACAGAGCATTTACCAAAATATTTGTCTTCATAAAAATAATGTATAAACCGAAAATATATTAAAGTATATGTATGCATGTATGCATTTAAAAAAATTTTTCTTCTAATATATTTTTATTTCTAGATTTTGTTTCATCTGGATTATTATTATATAAGTTGTATATTTGAAAAAATTTTTTTTTTAAAATATTTTTATTTCTAGAATTTGTTCTCTCCATATTATTATCATCTTGTTATAATTATGCTGTCCTTTCCTTTGTTAGTTAGAATGACTGTTACGTCCTTTTCAATATCTCATAAATAATGGATTATTCCACATTTTGATTGCATGGAAGGAGGAGAAATACTTTACTTGGTTGAAAATTGAAAGAAAGAAGAAAAGATGGAAGTGGAAAGAGAAAATCAGATCCGACTGATGAGAACAGATATTACACTTTGATCCCAGCCAAAAGGCCTAGAAGAAATGGCGACTGTGACAAAAATGTTACTATTTTTCAAATGGACATTCTTGAAAAGCATAAACTGAGTAAGCAGTTGCCAAAAACCCAATTAATATAAATTAAATAAAATAACATTGTCTGCTGAATTACTTTTTAATTTTATTCAAAGAAATGTTTATAAGACAGGGTTAGAAAGAAAGAAAGAAAGAAAGAAATAATGGACGATAAAAGTGTTTAACATTTCCTGCCAATACCTCATGAATAATGGACTATTCCATTTTGATTGCATGGAAAAGACACTACTTAATTTCAATGAGAAAATGAAAGAAAGATAGAAGTGTTTAACGGCTGTTTCAGTGAAATGGAAAAAGTTGTCAATTTCAAATCTTTTCATTTGTACCAACTTCTTAAAATAACAACCAGCATTCATATTTATGATTGCTATTGAAATGTTTTGTTAAAGTTGTCAAGCTCAACTATATAACAATCTAGGGAATTTCTATGAATATTTTATTGTTATATAACTCATCATGAGCTTAAGAGTTAAGAATTGAGATTCATCAGAAAATTTAAATAGGAAGAGTGTTAAATTTTCACAGGTTTTTCTAGTATAATTTTTGTATTCTAAAGTATATTTTTTTTTAATATTTTTATTTCTAGAATTTGTTTTATCTGTATTATCTTTATTTCTATTATTACATATTGCTGTGGCTTTATTAGGGCCAGGAATATATGCACAAGGGAGGAATTGAGTTAAACAAATATATTAACAGAAAACAATAATACAAACGAGAGTGTTACAGCAAGAATGTCGGGCCAACTGTCAGAGCTGACTGCTGGAAACTACACTTCTCTAAAAGGCAGTACCTGCTCCTATTTATAGCTGGGAGAATCCATGTGTGCATGGGTAAATTACCATAACACATGTATAATTTTTGTAATTAAAAAGTGTTTTTTTTTTCCAAAATGTTTATTTTTGAATGTGTTTTATCTGTATTATTATTATTATTATTATTATCATCATCATCATCATCATTATTATTATAATTATATATAATTTGTGTATTTAAAAAGCTTTTCTTTTTTTTTTTTTTCTCAGATGTATTTCTAAAATTTGTTTTATCTCTTGTTTTTTTTTTTTTTTTTTTTTTTTTTTTAGCTATCGTTTCCCGGACATGTTCCCTGATGTGAACCAGGTCCGCTACATGCAACAAGAACTGGACAGTATCATCCAGATTGGGGTTTACAACATCACAAGTCTGCTGAAGGCCATCAAATCTGAGTCGAGTTCAGAGGATGCAATTAATGTTGAAGTTGATGATGATGATGATTTTGATATGAGCAGAAGAGTACAGCAAATGCTAAAACAGAAATTGACAAAGATAGATGAAGGTCTGGAAGATGGCAATTCTGGCTTCAATGAAAAAATTTCAGACTCATTCGAAAAAGCCAAGAATTTACAAGCTATAAATTCTCTGAATTTAAATGCTGGTCACCTTACTGAGCAGCTCTTGAAAAAGGGACTAATAACCCCAGATATCTTACAAAAACTTTTGGAGGAATGGACTGTGTCCCCCAAACAAACAAATAAGGGAAAGAATAGACAACGGTGGAAGAGGAAAAAATAAGTTAATATATTTTTTTAATGTTTTGAGAAATTTCCTCAGAGTTGAAAAAGTAAAAACAATTTATTGTAATAAAACATAATTTTTAACTCTTTTGGCACAGACCTTTTTTTATTTTATATTGTTAGAAGGATACTGAGAAAACTATGGATCCAACAGTTTTACTGCTCTTTGTTTCTCCTTGGTGCACGCTGCTAGTTGAGCGGCCATGTTCACATTGTAACAGCAGGAAGAAAACTGTCATGATCAAGCTCAAAATTTGATCACGTAACCACAATGGTACCACCTATAAGCACACATGAGCAGAAGGCAATGTGGTTATAGCAAAGTGCAGGTATTTTTTTTTACTTACCCTCATATATATATATATATATATATATATATATATATAATATTTTTTACTAAATTTATCATTCAGTTAATTCATTCATTGTTGGTATGCTGGTTTACCTCTTTTCTTTTGGGACCTGGATATTGTCAGACTCCAAAAATGTTGGGGAAAAAAATGATATAATTATTGAGTTTATCAAATATGTGTGTGTCTTTGGTGTTAGCTGCTGTAATGCAAACATTAAAAATAAAGATCAGCAAGTGAGAAGTTGGAAGAGTGTACATGAAGGTTTTATCATATAGAAAGAGAAAATACTGAAAAGTATGGAAATATGTTCTCTACCTTCTCTCTGACCCTGAAAAGGAAAGCTTGTGACTATTATAAAAAGTCTTTTCTTACTCAGAAATCCAGTACATTATGTTACAGGAGTTTTTTTTTCTCACACATATATCTGTGAAGCATTTTTCCTTCACAGCATCTACCCCAAAATACCTCTCTGTCTAGATTAAGGCTTCACTGACTAGCAGTTAAGGGACACATCACTGCAAGAAAGTCCTGGAAAATGCAAAATGTGGCTATGCACAAAGGGGTTCAGGCCAAGATTGAAAGCAAACAAATTGTACCCAGCAATTTCTTCCAACCAAATTCCAACCAAATTCTGAATAGAGACAAAGCCTCTGTGACCACATTATTAATGGCCCCAATATCATCTCTTCATCATTGGATAAGGCAAAGCTTTTTGTGTTAGTCTTTACTTCCAAATTAATGTTAGACGATATGGGACATTTCCTTCCTGATTTCCTTCTGTCTCATCGAGTACAACCTCAGTAGTATTTTTATTAACAGCCCAGGAAGTCTCAACTTATCAAAAATCATAATCCTAAGAAAGCTACCAGCCCAGACAAATCCCAGTGGTTGTCCTTAAGAATATCAACCTAGAATTATCCCTGATCTTAGTGAAATTATTTAACTATTGCTTGAAAGAGTAATTTTTCCCAAGTCTGTAGTAGGTGTTAAGCCTATGCTTAATTTTCAAGAACACGGGTTAGCACTCAGCCACTTCTCGGTATAGACCTATCACCTATCTGCCTCCCCAGTGTCATTACAAAGCTTCTTGAGGTTATAATCAACAAGAAGATTGTTGATCTTATGTTTATATTTTTGTTATTTGTTAATGGAGATGCGCTTGACTCTTTAAGTCACTAACCCTTCCAGAAACTCGTACCAACTATCCTGACTGTCAGAAGAAGTTCCAGCTGATTTGTGTTATCTCCCTTCTGTGGATCTTTCAAACCACATTTGTGCAGAAGGAGATGATAGAACAACTAGTTGGAAATGCATGTGGAAGTCACAGAACTAAGACCATACCTAGTACCATGTCTAGCATGGGACCACATGCATGGTACCTACTAATTATGGAAGAGAGTAAACCTTTCTAATATAATTTCTATATCGAGTAGAGGGTAGTGAAAAGTTCTTGATTTCACTAGAAAAGAGTTAAAAAGATTTGGGGAAATAGGCTAAGTCATGAAATTGCTAGCCCCCCCCCTCAACACTTTGTAACACAAATTATATAATAAATGAAAACTATTTGCTTATAATGTTTATTAGTTACATAAAAACAATTTATGAAATTCTGAAAAATGTTTAATTTTATGCCAAAATAAACATTGAAGTTTGTTCAAGTTCCTTTGATATTGTTTCAAACTGCAGTTAGGTTTTTACAAATTTCATTGACTCAGTCAGTTTATAAACTGTTAAAATATTCAAACTAGTTTGAAAATAACTTGAAGAATCCTAGTAGCCGACCCATGAAATTAATGGCAGTAGAATCAAACTGTACCAAACTATAGGGAGGCCAGTTGAAGACTTGTAATTATTACCAGTTGTTACTCATAGATGGAGAAAATACTTGAAGTAATGGAAATGTTCTATGGAAGGATGCTGAGCATACAAAACTTTCTTTCCTCATTATGTGACCTAGAAATTTCAACTATCTCTTTCTGATGTTAAGTATAAGTGTCTATTTTCTCTAAAACTGTGTCATTGCTCACATGTTTAGTCCATGGTATCCTCAGCATTCTTCTGTAGAATCACATTTCTGTTACTTCAAGTCTCTTTTTCATCTGTGATGAGACTGTCCAGCATTCACTGCTATAGAGGAGAACTGATATTACATAACAGTTCAGTACACTTTTCTTGGTTTCTAACAAGTTCTCAGTATCTTAATACTTTGCTCAGTCAGCTTTTGGAAGGCATCTTATTCTATTCTAATGTGATTTAGGATTTCTGTGTCACACTTTCCATTCACTGTTAAAAAAAACTTCCTAAATATTTAAATTGTACTTGTTTGATTTTGGTATCTTCAATTTGTAATTTGCATGTTTATCACATATTTGGTCCAGTGTCTAAGCTTATAGCACCAGGTATTCCCAAACAGTCACCCATCTAGGTATTGACCAAGCTCAACTTTGCTTAACTTCGATGGTGATCATATGTGAACCAGTGTTTCAACGTCATGTGGCTGTAAACTTCATTGATTGATTGGTTCGTTTTTTTACGGCTTATCAACCCAATGCAGGTTATTTAAAGACAGAAAATATCTTTAGATTGTAAGAATGTTGTTGAGATAATAATGGTTTAGTGATACATGTCTTAACAATTAACCCATAGACGGGTGAGAAGAGGTGAACTCATACCCTTTCCCATGGGTTTTTGAGTGTTAGTGAATACAAAGAATAGGAACTTAGCTCTCCCTATTAACAATACTCTTTAACATCCTGTTAACATCGGTATTTTTAAGGACTTATGGACATGTACGTCAAATTTCTTTCTGAAACCAGATACTTGGATAAGTGAAAACAAAAAATCAAAGACCCAGTACCAATGTGAAGGACAATCTCACCACACTCGCCATTTCAATATAAACTCAGGAAAAACAGGACCCAGAGGTCAGTCTTCTTTACTCTTTTGTTAGAAAGCGAGACAGGCTGGTCCACTCCACTCTAACCACCAAAGAATAGGACGGCTGCCTGTTACAAAGAAGGATATATGTATATAAATTATTTTCAGATAGAGTGTGTCTGTGAAGAAACAAAATGAATAAAAAGACGGAGAAAATCTATTCTTAACCGACGCGTTTCGTACTGTGTGAGACTTTCAAATATAAGGATTTATTTTGTTGCACGTGTTTATATGCAAGAACAAGGGTGTCATTGGTTTATCAGGTCTTTTAAATTTGAGAACGTTCATGAATATTGATCAGGTGGTTGAAAGGTCAGTCAAAACATGTCAATGGCAAAAAGTGCCATAATTTAATGTCTGGTAAAACAAAAGTAAGCGAATAATATTCAAGAAATATTTTTATTTTTTAATTAATGAATATTGTAGAAATTGTGACCAAATTATTATGTGATAAACGTATGTGTTGTACATCTTCGAAAACACGAGGTAATGGTTTTAACCTTTTTCTTTTGAATTTTTAAAAAATTTTTGTGGTCGTAGATGTTCGCTTAAGAAAGTAATTCTTTCAGGAAAGGTGAGATTGGAAATAACCTGGGGCGTAGATTTATATTTTGATAAGCGTCGATAGCGGCACTCTCGACAATTTTCCTCCTGAGTAAATTGCTTTCTTTTTTTATACATGTGGTAATTTTTTTAGATCAAAATTGTGGTTGAATTTATTTCTCTGTATGACTAGTGAATTTGATAAATTGTTATATATAAGGCCCCTTCTGTGTTCATGGGTACGTTTTTTTTTAATTTACACTTGCCTTGATAAGTCCCTCAGAGGACAAAACGCGTTAGCTAATAATAGTTTTCCTTTTTGTCTTTTATTCCACTTCACCTCTCTCTCTCTCTCTCTATATATATATATATATATATATATATATATATAGAGAGAGAGAGAGAGAGAAATATATATATATATATATATATATATATATAATCTACAAAGAAGAAAAAGGTGGTGTTTTTTTTTTTTTCTCTCTCTGTCCCAACGTACCACGAGCTGCGATCTCTGTCTCACCAACAACAAGGTTTTGTGTTTACGAGAATAAATCTCAAATGACAACATTTGCTAATTGGATGACTCATTTTGAATGTGAAAGACAACAATTTGCGCCAACCTCCACCCTGGTGACCCCGACGTGATAAAGAATTATCGGAGCAGAAACATTTATTTTCAAGAGCACGACATGATATGGAAGTTCTGACATGTTTTGGAATTATTGGCACAGAATGCTGGTGTTTGCATTCAAAATGAATGAAAACCGAGCGAGCTTTGTATTGGGCGTATTGCGGGATTCTATGCTGTTCGGGTAAAAATAATTCATGTTTAAATTTTGTTATGTCTGCAGGTGGTAGTTGAAGTCAGGCGTGACTGTACCTGAGAGAAATAAAATGGTTAAGCAATGGCAGTAGAAATGAAGATAGTGTCAGTCATCTTCTGACCAAGAAAAAGGGGTTAAAATGGTGTAGTAGTAATGACTATTATTAATTTTTAGTAACAATGGCTATTATTAATTTTTGTTCGCACGTTACAAACATTTTGTATGGCAGTTACTCTGTTGTGGAGATGTGTTAGTTTTAGGGATTTGAAATTTGTGATTTTACACTTTACGTCGGGTTTAATCACCAATTTTTTTTTGTAAGAATACATTTTTGTGCCCACGTGGTATGGTAGATAGAAAAGTTGGTCGAAATTTCTCTTCATTGGCTCTCGGTTTTGAAAAGTACCTGAATGGTGCAGAGTTGAGTTTGCTTATAGCAGTGGTCATCAAATAGTGCGTCTGGATACACTGGTTCACCCTGTGAGATGTCTAGGTACGCTGTGGCATTCCAGAGAAATATGTGTCCAGATATAAGGATAAATACAATTATTTTATTGCTGTACTCGTCTCGTTCTTGTCCATGTGAATAAGGCTTTTTCTGCTCTTACCACAATTAAGTGCAAAAAAAGAAACTCTTCAATGTATCGACGAGAAAACGAGAGTTTACTTATCAAATATACGCCCAAACATGGACACCTTGAGGTGGTGTAATTGTTAGTAAGTTTGTCTCGCTAGAACAATTACCCCATAATTTTGGCCTTGTGCCGTATCTAAGCTAGGCCTAGAAGATCATTTTAGTGAGTTCGTTCCTCACTGGGTGCACCACACTTACGGCCTTGTGCCACATCTATGCTACGCTTAGAAAGCCATTAGGGCAACTCTAGGCAGTGTAATGGTTAGCATACTTGTCTCGCTAGAACAATTACGATTGAGCGTTCTTTATCTACGTTCGACTTACATAAAATGAGAGAGAGAGAGAGAGACAGACAGACAGACAGACAGACAGAGACAGACAGACAGAGAGAGAGAAAAAATATGTTTGCCTTTTTATAGACTTAATGAGCGAACTCTAACGAGCGGTTTAGCAAAGTCAAGTGGAGTAACCCACAGACGGTTTTTATTCTCTTGAATACAAATGCGGTAACATGCTTTTAATGTGCATGCAATCAACGGCAATGGCTTCTTATTTTTTCACTTTTTGCAACGGAATCTGATGAAGATTTCAACACGTGTTATGGTTTTTGATTGGTTGGCAGTGTACTTTCTGTTAGCGACAAATATGATGAACTTAAAAATTGAAAATTTGAATTTAATTTTGAATTTGCAGAACAAGGGAGGTAATTATTCGCTACACTCTAGCCGAAAAGAAATAACTTGCTTATAGATTCTTTTTAATCATTCTACCCCAAGCAAGGCGATAATGTCACTAAGACGCACGGAGTTAATGAGAGTGAAAGAAAATAAGAACACGTTATTGAGGAGAATGGTAATTAGCCGTTTGCTTACAAGGTCTGTAGCCTGGATATTATTCTCCGAGGCTTATTTTGATGCTGTGAAACGTGTTGCCCTTACAGCTGTTCCACAGCTGTTGCCATTAGTCTTTCATGTCAGCAAGGAAAAAAAAATAATCATTAGGATTTCGTATAAAAATTAACTAAACAAGGAAAAAATATTAATTTGAACAGAGCCGTTCATATGATTACATAATTCTCATTGGTGAAAGTCAAGATTTTTGATTGGGCATTTTCTGGAAGACTGGCGCTACATATCTTACTTATTACCTTTATTTGACCTAAGAAGTAAGGTACACATTGCTTGCCCTATTTAAATTGTTCTGTTCAAAATTTTAAAAATATATATTTATTAATTTTAACGTATTTTTTAATTTTAAAATTTTTAATCGTTATCACCCCATGTAAAGCAGTAATGCCACTAAAACACAAGGGGTTACAGGATGTTGAAGAATTAGGAACAGAAACAATAATGATGAGAAGAAATAAAAGAGAGTAATCAAAAGGACTGACATTGCATTTAATTTTTTGCAGATTAAAGTTGCAGAAACTGTTAACATAGAATCTAAGGTTACATCTAACCATCTTAACTGTAAATTGATGAGATATTGACGACAGCCTAGTACTGCGTTTAAATTCAAAATCTCTAGTTACCATAGCGAAGAGTTCATTCGATTAATTACCATGAAAGTATTTATAGAAAAGACATAGAGATACAACCGTACGGCAGAGGGAAAGTAACTGAAGCCGAGCAGCCAGATCAGGACCAATAATATTGCTGATTCTTTTTTGGATCTTATCAAGTATCTCAAGGTAAATAGCAGGGATAATGGACCATATGTGACAGCAATATTCTAAGCATGGACAAATGGTAGACTTATAGATATATTAAGATAGATGCTGGAGAGAAAAATTGTCATGTCCGGCACAGTAAACCTACCTTCTTATCAGCTGACCTAGCAATGGATTCAATATAGTCTTTCCACTTCATATCAGCAGAGAACGTGGGCCCGAGAAGGCGCAATGAGTTACTTTACTGAAGGTCAGCATCAGCCATGTTGATGGATGGCAGAGAGGGGTCTCTCATATGTTTAATGGAGAGAAGTTCAGTTTTGGAGGCGTTAAAATAAACAAGCCATCTTTTGCCCCAGTTAACGACAGATTTGAGGTAGTTTGGGACATCGGTTGCCATACTAACCTCGTCGGACTGACCAGCCTTACTATCGAAACAGGAGTAAATTGTTGTGTCATTAGCGTATATACCATGTTGAGAGCTGATGTCACCAGGAAGGTTATTAATGAAAAACCAAAAACAGAGTAGGATCAAGGCTGTAGCTCTGGTGGACACCTGCATTAGTAGGAAAGGATATAGACGAATGGCCGTTCAGGATAACTTTCATTTCACGATTTGATAGAAAAGACTGGATCAATTCAAAGTGCCAGCAGACACTGTAACTTTTCAGCTTGTGGAGAAAACCTAAATGTCAGTCCCTGTCAAAGGCTTTTGCGATGTCCAATGCTACAGCCCGGGCTTCACCGTTACAGTATGATAGACCTTTCCGCAATTATCGTCAGTATATTAGCAGTTAAACTGGAGAAACGAAAGCCGTATTTTTTGTCTGAGAAAAAGGCTCTGCGATGAGAGATGATAAACCAATTCAGCATTGATTAAGGCATTGATTAGTTTCCCCCAAAGAAGTAGAAGACTAATAGGCTGATAGTTGGAAGGGTCAGACGGCTCACCAGAGTTCTTAATTGGAACAACAGATGATGACTTCCAGCAGGCAGGAAGGCAAAAGGCATCGTCATTTATTATGCAGTTTAGAGAGAACAGGAGCCAGTTCGGGAGCACACTTCGTAATGACATTGCAGTGATACCATCGGGTCCACATAATTTGTATAGCTATATAAATTAGAGACAATAGCAGAAACTATAAAGGGGTGATATGCATATCACTCAACAGAGACTGAGTTCTAGGAGTGAAGTTAGGCAGGGATATTCCGGATGAGTCAGGAGTAGAGTTTGAGGAGAATTTACGGGCGAAGCATTTAGCTTTATCAGCAGAGGTTGATAACAAATCATACTGATTGAAGAGGGGAGAGATAGAGACCTTACACATATTTAATGCCCTATTACAGAGCCACAAGTAATCACAAGAAGAGTCAAAGTTGTTAGAGGCTATGCACTGCCTCATATTCTCGGCAAACAGGGACTTTGCTCCTTTGAGGACTCCCTTACATTTATTGCGAGCAGCAACGAATAGGCGCCTGTTGTGATGAGAACCGTCACGCTGCTATAGTCTAAAGTGGTGGTTCCTGCTGGTGTGAACTATGGAGAGGATTGAGGTTTCCCCTGATATTTCCGAGAAATGATAGCATCCATGCTGGCTTTGACCCAAGAAGAAACTTCAGTGGCGCAATTTTTAATTGGGAGTTTAAAGATGTTAGTCCCAGGGGCATCACAGAGAAAAACACGGCGTGAGTCCCAATCAGTATACTGGTAACGGAAAGAAGTCTGTTGAATAGATAACTGGAACGAAATATCAATAGCCACCATAGAGTGGTTGTTTCTGGTTGTTTTATCAACCTCAGTGGGTCATTTATTGCCAACAAAATTTTTGAAATAGATACATAGCGATAGTTTGGTAAAAAAGGTGTATATGTATACATACATATTTGAACCATTTTTCAATTTCTCATATTTTTTAGTACAATCACATGTATTGCTGGTATTTTTTTTCAAAAACGTATTGCTGGTAATATTTTTTTCAAAAATTAATTTCTGGTAATAATTTTTTTCAAAGTGTTTCTGGTATTTAAACCTATTTTTACACTTTTATAGTGCTTTTTACCTCAGTTTCGAGGTTAACTATTAGCTCATAGCTGGGACCCTAACAGGTGCTACCACCCCGGGTCAGGGTGGACCTGGGACCACCAGCAATTAAGAGGTGGTTCCACGCTCTTCAAAACCTCCCTATCAGAGGCCTTGCTGTTGGACGTAGTTTATCGTCTTACCCTGGACGCGGGTGTAGTTTATCATCATACCCAGGACGCTCCATTTGACGCGTGTGTGTGTGTGTGTGGGGGGGTCTTACCCGTCTGCAGAGGTGCAGTCGGCGTATTCTACAGTCCCAACCGACAGGGCAACCACCATAGAGTGGTCAGAATTACCAAGAGCGCAGTGTTGCGAAGCTCAGCAAGAGGAGATAAGAAATAAATCAAGTAGAGAAGCATGTTGCTCGGTTTTGCTAGGGAAACGAGTAGGGAAGTCCACGAGTAAGGGATTAGGCAGTGGAAAAATCTAATGTCTGAATATCGGCAACACCAGTAACATTAAAATGTTTCAGCCGTGGTGAGCATTAACGTCATTGAAGACAAAGATGTTCGCAGATGGATGGAGTGAAAGTGCCTCTTCTATTCTGTCAGCTATTGCGTCTAATATACTGTAGTCATGGGAAGAGGGAGTCATTAAAGGAAAAAGAGATAGCTAACAGAGTTTAGTAACGAAAGACGGAAGCACATGAAGGAGTAGTCTTGTCGGAGTTAGCTCCTCCTTAATTCCCTAATTGTCACTAGAGGTCATTCTCCCTATACTATAAATACTGGGCGACTTCTCGCCTTGTCCTCTTTTTCCTTCAGGCCTCGTACCACATCCCACCTTGCGTGGAGATTAGGTAAATACTCTTTTTTATTTCTTTCGGTAACTACAATGTAAGCTCTCTTAGAAAATCTGCGTCTTACCATTTGTGGAAGACGCTGTGAATATTATACACAAATACACGTACGTACGAACATTTACCAAAATATGAACATTCAACAAAGAACAGATACAAATGTTCACACACACACACACACACACACACACACACACACACACACACAATGTCATTGTCTGCGTCCATTGTAAAATTGTTTTCTTTAATACTGTTGAAACTTGACTAATGGATGGAATAATAATGCAACACAAAATGTACTTAGAACAAAATGTATTGAAACAAGAAAGTGTACACAATATTTACATATAGTCTTTTGTATATTCCCGGTAAGACCGTTCCTGGAGAATGTGTTGACAGAGTCGCAGTCGGGCAGAGTCTCTGGTTGAATCTCTTGATTCCTCCCCCTCTCTTCCCGGTACCAACCATATTTATATGGTCGGTACTCCACTATGCAAATTAGGTGGATCCTACCACAACAAATACATATATTTGTTTATATATATATCGGTCTTGTTTGTTTGTCTTCATTAACTTCAATTGGACTTAACTTGAGTCCGGCAATTTCTTGTAGTTGGACCTTTTCATATTCTACCAGGAGTTACACACGTGTTTCTAATTCAAACAACACGTAAATACACACACGGTCCTCTACAGTCTGGTGCCTCGAGAGACAATTCCCTGGCTATCAGCAGATTACTCCGGATGAAAATACAAGGCCATGTATGTGAATGCTGGATTCTTTTCGGTAAAGAGGAAGACCGTCTGGAACCAAGAATTCATAGATAGCAATGGAAGAATTTAAGTTAGTTTCACAGAGGGCAAAGATATCTGGCGACTTTTCCAAGGAGAAAGGTTCTGTGCTGTAGAAGTTGGAACGGATACCACGAATATTAGCGAAAGAAATGCCGAGGTGGGGTAGGTTGTTTTTTGTTTACTGGTTTGGTTGTGTTTCTTTTTTTGTTGTGTTTTATTTATTTCAATTGAATCATACAAAACTTTATTTGTTGGTTGTTTTTGTTTACCGACATATCAACACCTCTATGGGTTATTTAATGCCGAAATCTAAATATTTTGTACGCAGTTTTATTTTTATTTTTTGGAGATAATAATGATTTTAGTGATACAAGTCTTACTAATTAACCTATAGCTGGGGAGAGAAAAGGTGGATTTATACATTTCCTGATGATATTTGCGTGTAAATGAATATAACGAACCTAACCGGAATTGGAACTCGGCTCTCCGATTAACTATTCCGAGCCATTATCCATTACATCACCCGCACATCCAAGCTTACAGCACCTGTTTATTGGAAGCAGTCACTCATCTAGATACTGACCAGGCTCGACGTTGTTTAACTTTAGGGAGGCTCGGAGAATTTATGTTTCAAATGGCACTTGAAACTTTTACG